TTTCTATTGCGTTAATGATTTAACCATGTGTTTGACATTGGTTATATGTTTAAATCATAATTTTGGACTTGTATTAGATTCTTCAGTTTATGTTTTCAATATTGAATGGTATTGTTATAGCGTGTAACGAATCGCACACTAAAGATTCGACATATGATGTTATTATAGCGTGTAACAAATTGCACTCTGAAGATTCGACATTGTCATCCCATAGTAGTTGTGAATTTAGAGCATGTATTGTGTGGTTTCAACCTACTTATGCATGGACTGTAATTTCGTGCTTTATATATTTCGTATTTAAGTTGTTAACTAATTTATTTTAGAGTCACTTGGGACATTGTTACAGAAATATGGCTAGAGTTTGGCTCTAGTACGGGAGGTATGAGTTCTCCCTATTTTATAGTGCACACTAGTGTAATATTCCAATGGGTTAATGCCCGGAATAACTGTAGTTCTTGGCTTCATCCAAGATTTGATGTCCAAGTCTCCCACTATTTGATTTCGCATTCAATTCCAAGTTAACAACCAATGTTTAATTGTGACTTGTGGTTTTGGTTATCAACGATTTAATGTTGTTAAGTACATTTATGCATAATGATTTGTAAGGAATCATCGCATGCTTTTAATGTTGTTAAGTACATTTATGCATTATGATTTGTAAGGAATCATTGCATGCTTTTAATATTGTTAAGTACATTTACACATTATGATTTGTAAGGAATCATCTCATGCTTTTAATGTTGTTAAGTGCATTTATGCATTATGATTTGTAAGGAATCATCGCATGTTATTAATGTTGCGAAGTACATTTATGCTTTTAATGTTCAAATGTAGCTTAGGAATGATCCTATAGATTCATTTGGAACATAGACATTAGGTGGCATGACCCACTTTAGTTGTTTTCGCATTTTAGATTTTAAGTTAATAACTGTGAGAATCTATATCTCGTTGCCTTGTATAACATGCTTCTATGTTATTTAAATTGCATGAATGATGTGATTTATGCTAAAAATGATCTAAGGTAGCTTAGGATGCTCTCTGAGTCTCACCTTTGACATAGATGTTAGGTGGCATAACCTTTTGAATTGTTTCGCATTAATGTAATAATCTTGTAAAACGTAAGGTCTTTGCATGTTTATCTCCTACGAGTAGCTTTATATTACTCACCCCAAAGTTACCGGGATTAATTTCAGGTACAGGATTCAAAATCTGGAGATTTGCACTTGCCTTGGGTGATTTGTTGATTTTAGGTTTCTTTAAATGCATTCTTGTTCACATGCAAGTGTTAGCATGTTTGAGTTTTGCCTATGAAATGTAATTTTTCTAAGTTGGAGGCTTGGCATGTCAAATTTTGTAAATGAATTGTAATAAGGCCATAGGCCATTGTAACATGTTTAAAATGTCATATTACACTTGCGTGTATGTTCACATCATCACACGATAGCATATAATGCAACTTGATCATACTATGGGGGACCCATTTGAGACTTAGGAACTTCTCTTCATTTTTGGTGCATAGCAGGTTCATTCTTCACATTTTCGACTTGTTTCACTCGACCGGTGGCTTGTTTCAGTTGACCGGCACATATTTTGAATTTCAATTGAATAGTAAAGTCCAATTCCAGTAGCCATTTTCCATTCTGAGCCACAAACCGGTCGACCGGTTTGTCATTTTGGTCGACTGAAATGAAGGCTCATTTCCTTTATTTTCTTAGCTCACTTTGGTCGACCGAAGCATCATTTTGGACAACCGAAATGATGCTGCCTTGTGGACAAGATAGACCATAATATAGCTTAAACAAGATAGACAAGGTCCTTGGGTCACCACTAACGCACCGAGTTAAAAAACTTGGGCCATCACATTTTTTATACCACGTCAACTTCAATCGATCGAAGTAAGTTTCAATCCATCAAAGCTATCTTCAATTGATCGAAGATCCTACTGGCAATGAGCTGTTTTATTCCCAAGCGTGCCCGAACTCTACCAACTTTTGTAGTTGCGGGATTAAACCAATGAAATGCCTATTTTCTGACTTGTTGCCTACTCAAAGAGGCTTCTATTTAAATGAAATTGGACCATTTTGTTAGGGTTCCAACTTTTGTTCCCAACTTTAGCTAAAAATAGTATAGCTCTTAGATAATTTTCTCTTTCTAGATTAGGGTTTTTGGAGACCAAAGCAAGAGAAAGAAGATAGTGCATACATTAAAGAAAGCCCTTGAGGGTTGGATGATAACAACCATGAGTAGCTAGATCCTTCTCTTGGGGCTAGAAATAGCTCCTAGGCTTGCCTCCTAAACTTTAGTACTTTGTATTATTGGGAATTTTAGTTGTAATTGATGTTTTGACCTATGATTATATAAATCTTGAGTTTCTACATGATTTGTATGGATTAATTTTTCCAATTGATCTTTTATTTCTATTCATATGTCTATGTGTGTTAGAATGAATGGTCATGTGCTTACAATAAATTTTATGAGTTTAATGCATGTCTATGTGTGTTGAAATTGTAAATCTAGTGATGGTCAAGGCATGGTACTTAATTAGCTACTCTTTTAGTTTATTTGATGGATTATGTTTATTTCTTGATGGATTGTGCTACCTCACTAGTTTAATTAGTTTAATTTTCTTATCATTAGTATAATTGTAATGTAGTTGCTTTAAATTCTTAGACAGGTAGACAATCCATACTTGTTATTTGATGATCCATGCTTATGAGTGAAGTAGTACATTTCTCTAGATTTTAATGTGCATTAATTGTGGATTTATTGAAGGGTTAATGGCTTAATTTGATAGGTTCTACTACTCACTAGCTTGATTAGACAATGTATGCTTATTTTGTCATCCATGATTTGTATTTCAATTATATGGCACACACACTTGTTTTACAACATGGAATCCCCCTAAATTGGCAAATGCTAAATATTTAGTGAGGTGAAGCTTAGTGGTGAACTCTATGCCCCAAGACTTCTCTCTCATTCTCTACACCTTAATCTCTAGATTGTTTTTAATATTCATGTTTTTAATTAAATCATTAGCTTAATTTAACCAATCAAGCCTCTCTTTGATCATTCGACCTACTAACCCGAATTCGATTCTGTAGTACCTTGCAAATCCCTTGGGATGATCCTTACTCACTCTTGTTACGTTAGTAGTAGTAGTGGTGGTTTTTATAAATTTTAATTTGACCAAAGAGACTTTACTTGAACCACTCTCACACATTTTGGCATATGCGAGCGACCTCGTGTCATCTACTATCCGGTTAAGGTTGTCTTATGATCCAGTGAGAGTCTATAGTGTGTATACTGTTGTATATTGACCTACATAGTTATTGTATGAGTCGGATTAGGATGGATCGTATATCGGGTCTCTGTTTGGGATGTAGTAGAAAGGGCTTATTCGTGGGTTTTGACACACCTTTGTTGTTAGCTTTTTAGGTCCTTGTCAGTTCTAGGCGTAGAGTCAGTTCGTGTAGAGCAAAGGCCAGTCTTCTTCACTCGTCCGGTGTCATCAACGTAGGACTCTACATTATGTTTTTATTATTTTTGAGATAGACATTCATTATTTATTTAGCAGTTTGGGATTTTTATTAGGGGTCCACATAGTATGGATTCCCGAGTTATTCTCTGGAGATTTATTATTAGTATGGGAATTTATTGGAGATTATTGTATCAAAGGATTGGTTATTAAATTATTAATTTAGATTTCCCTTTCAGCGTTATTTATTTATTTTATTATTATTCCTCTTGTATTCTATACTTATTTATTATTATTGATTAGCTGATATCTCCTGATTTTGTACGCGGACATGATCAACCCTTGTTCCAAAATTAGGGGTGAAATTAGGGGTATCACAATGTGTGTGTGTGTGTGTGTGTGTGTGTGTGTGTGTGTGTGTGTGTGAAATTAGGGGTATCACAGTGAGTGTGTTAATATGTTTATATAGAGTTTTGAAACCCTCATTTTACTTGGAAAATAAGTCAATTTTGTGCATAAGGTTGTAAAAGAAGTCTATACAGAATAGGAAGTTGACATAGAGTAGGAAATAAAGTTACCAAAAACTGCTGCAGAACTTGAATTGGTTCAGCTGCCCTTGAACCGGTTCAAGTTGGCCAGTGGTTTTTTTTTTATTTTTAAAACGAAGCTTTAACACTTGAACCAGTAACTGGTTCAAGTTGGCCAAACATGAACTGAAGGTTTTTACACTTAGAAAAATTTGGACAATGCTTATTTTTGAAAACATGCGATGCATGCAAGTGTCCTTACCTCCTAACTAAAACTTCCTAAGATGTTGCTCTTACATTTTTCGAAGTTATCAAGCTATTGATCAGAACAACTCTTCAATTCCGCTTCGATCTCGAACTTGAAATTTGAACTTAAAATTAGAATTCGATCGGACTTGTTTTGATAACAAAATCTGCTAATTATAAATTTTATATCTCACAAAATCAACTATATTTTTGTAAACACTTGATGTCAACCCGTTTAAATATTACCATCATGTACTTCCGAAATCTTTTGAAATTAATATTCCAAGTCAAGCTAACAAGAAAACAATATGGATGAAAAGTCAGAAAACTCCTTCATAAAGTCCCAAAGCATGGCGTACTAGAATCAAACAAAACATTCTAGCTTTATTGGAAATGAAAGACAGTACTAAATATTGGGGGGGGGGGGGGGGGGGTTGGGGGGACAAAACAAAACAAAAAGAAGATAGTACTATTGACCAAATGCTTTTATGATCCTTGAAATGAATTTTATTCGTAAACACATTTAATCTTACTTAGCTGCATTTGGAGGAGTATTATGTGACTTTTTGAAATCAAACAAAAATTGATGAAATCTAACCGATGAACAACCTTCTAATCTACAAAGCCATTTTTTTTATATGAGACGAGGTCAGATGAATTGACAAAGAAATTTCATACTGAGAAGTTCCATAATCCAACCAAGACCTAACAATGAAGGACTATGACATTATACTCAACAATCCAACCAAGACCTAACAATGAAGGACTATGACATTATACTCAACAATAGCATCACCCGATGTAATATTGAACGAATGTGTCTTTGCGGTGGCAATTCCACGAGCCAGTCGAAAAACACCAGATCCACCAACAATGGACATCTCCCTGTACAAATTTAATACCGGGTTTCGGCCTAGGACCGCAAGAGTGCTACCGTTGTACTTTCCATTTGTGAAATGAAAGTTCATGGTCATAAGCAGACTGAACTCATCCAATGCTGCTGCACCATAGAGTCCCTGGGCTCGACCTATGATCTCCGATGTGGGCTCCGGCCCAGCGGTCAATGGGTCATCGGCCATTATAACTAGACCGAAAAAGGTGGGCGATTTATCAATGATGTTGGACTGGGCCACCCGCATTGCAGTTGGGTTCTTGCCACTTACTATGTCATGGAAATAGAAGTGAAGCTTTGTCAACTTTTCCGTTTTGTGACTGAGCTTTTGGAACCACTCTTCAACTGCTTTGGGCCCTTGAGAAATTCCATAAACCGTTGGCATTGCCATGACCACTAAGCAGAGTATTAGGACTACAGATAGCTTCCCCATCTTCTGTGTGTGTGTGTGCGTCTAATGTAGGCTGGGGATGCTACTGCACATTTAATATAGCGGACCCACGTGCTTGTTTGCATAGTATTGTGCGCTTTGGCAAAAAACCTACTTTTAAAAAATATGTTGTATATATCGATCGAGTCATTGACGTAAGTACTATAATGTGATAATGAGCTATTATTTTTCGTTAAGTTTAGAATTTATTTTTTTTATTTTTTTTTATTTTTACAAATTGGCTACTAAGAAGTCCAAATTAGAACTTCAAATCCCTAGCTACCACAAATTTTTTTATTTAATTTTTCAAACTTAAAATTTAGAAAGGCTCATGCACTAGATGTTTTCAAAAATTTCAAGGGGATGGTCTCCATTGAATTTTTTTACTTGCTTCCAAACAATATTTTGTTCTATTAAGCAACTCTACAGGTGTATCATGTCTCTGATATTTTACCACTGTATAAGAACAAGTTCTCTGATTTCCACATTTAATATATATAAATATATATTTTTTGTTTTTTTGTTTGTTTTAAATCCTTAATTTCTCATATCAGCGCCAGTAATTACATTGGTAGCTGAACTTCTTGATTACAATATCTAAGCATCTTGAAATAATTATTAACTGAAATTTATGGGGTTTGTGGTACACTTTTTTTAACAAAAAAATATATTAAAAATACCTCATCTGCCAACAATTTTTTTTTTAGTCCCACGTCCCAATAAAGTAAAAATTGTTGAGGAATCTTTTAAATTAGAGTAAATTGTAGTAACAACCCCTCATGTTTGTTTAAAAGACAAATAAATATAACTTAGGCTATTTTTTGACAATAACACCACCAAAATTTCTAAACTTGAACAATGACACTCCAGATATGATGAAAGTACACGTTTACCTTTTTGACCACATAAAATGACCAAATAACCTCAACCAATGTAAACAACCACCACTCACCGCCACCGCAACCTCACTCACAGCCACCACAACCTCCACAACCACCATCTTCTTCGCCTTTCACCACCATCACACAAAGCCACACAAAACCATCCATATATATATATATATATATATATATATATATATATATATATATATACACAAAACATATACCAAGTCGCCACCACTACCGCCATCTTCTGTTACCTCGTCGTCGGTGCCAGACACCCCAAATCCCGTAGCTGTTGGCAGTGTCGGGAGGATTAGCGCCGGATAAGAACCCGGCGTCAAAGGCGTATTTGAGAAGCTTCTCGTTGTGCTGGTTCAGCGTCGCCTTCTTAGCAAGGGTTGTAAAAGCACGGCTTAACGAAGATTTCAGCCGCAAATTCTTCCAACAGTTGGTTTCCGCCATTGGGTACTGCATTTGTGTGGGGTCTACCACTGAGATCTGATGCCAGACAACCTCCTCGTCGACAACAAAAGTGATTTGAAGGTTGCAGATTTCGGATTCAGTACGGTTACGAACCAGATCCGACCAGCGTATGTGGCGCCACAGTCCACCAATCAGCGCTTCATTTTGTAACCGAATCATGGTGCACGTAACAACGAGAAGCGCCTCAAATACGGCGCTAATCCTTTGACGCCGGGTTCTTATCCGGAAATAATCCTTCTGACACTCCCAAAATAGTCGACACCGATGATGGAGATATCGTAACCCTAAAGACGATCGGAACCTAAACCTTCCGACACTCCCAACACAGACGACGCTGATGATGGAGATCCGGTTCACCCACCACAGGGTCACTGGCCGGACCACAGGGTCAGATCGTCAAAAGGTTGGTTGTGGGGTCTCTAGTCGCCGGTGGGACGGTATACATAGTAGTGGCGACGTTCAACATGTTGGGAAACGTGCTAGTTTTAAAAACTTTTCGAGGGATTTAAATTCATAGATCTTGATTCATCACATAGAGACAAGTTTTATGCAAAAATAAAATATGATGTATCATTCAACTAAAAGATTGAATACTTACATCAAGGTTTGAATAAACCTCAGATCTCTCCTCTAAAGTGAATGTTCTCACTTATTGTAGATCCCTTTTCTAGACATCTTTTCCATGGATCTCCATCTTCTTGGTAATGGTCTTGCCTTTAGGAATCACTCATAAGCCTCCATGAATGACCTTGGAAAACTAGGCTTGTGGGAGCTTCCATTAGATGAGAACATAAACCTTAATTTTCTAGAGAGAGAAAATATTTATTCCTTTTTTTTCCTTCTACTAAAAATCCCCCTAAAATATACATAGACCATGTATATTTATAGGCAACATAAAGGTAAAGAAAAGGAAACAACTAATCCTTCTCACTCTCTAATTCACATGTCTCAAATCTAATATGATTCCAATATCAAGTTGGGCTATGAGTGAGAATCCATTGGGCCTATTATTTTATTGGCTACAATGAATTAATAATTGGCCCGATCCATGGACCCAATTCAATTAATTCATAAATTAATTTCTACTCCACTAAAAGAAATTAATTGAACTCCAATTAAATAATAAATAACCTCTAAGTCAATATTGCACTTTGACCCCTCTATGCATAATTAGTTATCGGATAAATAAAGCCATCAATCCGACTACTTAATTAATATATCTATTTTGGTACCTCTGATTATTTCTGGCTCGATCACAATAAAACATTTGTTTGACAAAAATAATAATTTAATAAATAAATATATAATAAATCATTTTGTCTAAAATCATACGAAGGCCTTCGAATTTACTTTGTGATCAACCATAATCAATACAAAATAAATACAAGTAGCAATGATGCAAATATTGAAAATATAACCCTCTAATTATTAATTACATAACTACCCGAAGTGTCGGTCTAAGGATCCCGAAGAATCCGCCGAACAAATCAAAGTAATTATTAATTAATAAAAGAGTCTATACTTTTCTCATGCTTAAGAGTCAAATGCCATGACGGTAATAGGGAGTAATTGCATACGACGACTCTCGCAATATATCTCAACCTAACGCGGATCCAGTTCAAGTCTTAATTAATTATGAGTCCATCCATAATTACCGACTATAAACAATTTATAATTACTATTTATATATCATGCATTGATTGCCATCACATACATATACATAAATATTTCTTGTAATTACATGGACACTATCAATTTTACAATGAATCGAAATATAATACATTGAATTCACCAATTGTATAAAACATAAATATTTCAGAAACGTCAGGAACATATGTCAATTAATCCAAATAGGAATTTGCTATGCCAGGGCATATAAATCCCAACACAACAACCCTTCGTTTCACCGGTTATAGGCGAAGGCCGATGTGTAGAGTTTCGTTTGTTCTTTTATTCTTCCATTACTTGATTGTCGAGGCATAGAGATGAGATGAGAGTAAAGCAGTGTTTGTCTTTGAAAGAGATATGAAAGAAAAAGATGAGATGAGAGGGTAGTTTGGTTATTTTAGATGAAGATAAAAATACATTTTAGGACATATTAGACATTTCATGTTATTTAAGGTTGTGTTTGGCTTTTTATTTACAAAATGGGGAGTCATTGTCCAAGTTTGCAAACATGGGGTGTCATTATTAAAAAAATGTCCTAAGTTGCATCTACTTATCTTTTTAAACAAATTTGAGGGGGTGTCACTGCAATTTACCCTTTAAATTAATATTCCAAATCAGGTTAACAAATAAATAAATAAAAAACAATAGGGATGAAAATTTGAAAATAGACTTTATGATGTGCAAGAGATGTCATGCAAAAAACCATGCCATACTAAACATAGATCGGATTGATCAAATTCATATCCTATTTGTTAAGCAAACGGATTATTCGATTCGGATCATTAACGGGTTCTCGGACTGAATGTCCCAATCCATATCTTATTTAGCTCGGACTCGGATTGAATCGGATTCAAATTCGAATTAAAATCATATTTACTAATATATATAATTATAAAGTTAGATGAAGTGTAGAATTACTAATATACAAAATGTTACGTAATATAACTATGCAACTAAATAAATATAATGATAAATAATTAATATATACAAATTTAGTAATATATAACTAATATATATAATATTGATGAGAACACCACACTATTAATATGTACATTAAGTGATTTATTAGCATGTGGATGAGAACACCACACCATTGTATATATAATATTATAATTTTTTTTTTTTTTTGTTACCTCTAATACAATTCTAATAGGAATATTGATATAAATATATAAAATTATTGATAAATAATTATTTATATATATATATATATATATATATATATATATATATATAATTTTAATTGGATCAAATCAAATCGAATTTTTATCAGATCAAATCAGTATAATTCATATTCGATTTATTAAACTAATAAATTATTAAATTTGATTCGTAATCGAATTATTGAATTTTTTGTTCAATTCATATCCGACTAATCGAATCGATTCCAAATCACTATTGACATGTCTAAAGATGCTTAGTGGTCCACTAAGCATCATCTTATGTGGGTCTAATGTAGGGTTACAATTTGGGCTGGCCCAACCCAACCCAGTCCCAACCCAATCTCAACCCGAATCGAGTTGGGTTGGGTCAACCCGAATTGTACTTAACATGGGTTATGGTCATAACTCGGACCAAATATTTTTAGACGGGTTGGATCAGGTTGACGGGTTGAATTTTTCAGAAAAAAAATTTCTTTTTTAAAAATTTATATATATAATATATTATTTTATATATATTTGATTATATTATTATAAAAAAACAAAATATTTTTAGGGCAAATCATTTCAGCCTCTTTATCACCTCCATCTCTATTCTCTGTGAGAACTTGCCCACCCTCTCTCTCTCTCTCTTTCCAACTGCAGACTACAAATCTACAAGAATAAGAAGTTCAAAACCCATATATTTCATTTCTATCTATCTGTCTATAAGAATCAAAAGTTCAAAACCCATATCGGCATATCATTTCAGATTGTTCAAAAAATCAAAACCCAAATCGGCATATCATTTCAGATTGTTCAAAAAATCAAAACCCAAATCTTTCAGTTTCCATCGCCCGCTGTTCCAGTTCGGGTTCGCCATTCGCAAGCTTAAAAAAATAAAGAAACCCTCACTTCTATGCATTTTCCTATATTTTCTTTTCTTGGGTGGATGGTATTGATTAAGCCGCTGCCGCTGTGCTTGTACAAAAAGAGTAGTCTTGGGCTTTGTTTGGAGAGGTGGATTTTTTCTGTTCTTTCCTGGAGGCTTTCATGGATGAAGACAGGCTTCGATTCTTCTCTTTGGCTTCATCTTTCTTGATCTGTTTTTGTCTGCGCTCTTCACTACAGAATGGTGTGTCCCCTCTGCAAAATCACAACAGTATAAAAAAAATTACGGTCAGTTATGACACACATACTGATATTGTTTGAATAAATAAAGAAAAATGCATTAGACCCATTTAAGTTTAGTAATCCATTACCCCAAAGATTTTTTTTATGAAGTTTAGTAATCAATTAATCATGGTCTTCAAGAGGGGCGGGGGCGGCAACGGCAGCACAGGGACGGCGGAGAGAGAAAGAGAAAGAAGAGAGATGAGAGAGAAAGGAGAAAGAAAATTATATATATATATTTTTTTTAATTTTGGGTTTCGAGTTGAGCCCGAGCTCAACCCGAATATAACTGGGTTTTGACAAAATTCAATCCGAATACGAGCCCGATTTGTGAAATTAAAGTCCAAAATTCAAAATTCGAGTTAGACTTGGGTTGGATTGGGTTAATCCGCCCAAGTTGCAGTCCTAGTCTAGGGGATGTTATTGGCACATTTAATACAGTGGACCCACGTGCTTGTTTGCATAGTATTTTGCGTTTTGGCAGGATATATATATAAAATTACTTTTAAAAAATAACTAAGTGCAGATATATGTTGTATATATTGATCGAGTCATTTACGTAAGTACTATAATGTGATAATGAGCTATCATTTTTCGTTAAATTTAGAAATTTATTTATTTTTATTTTTTGCAAGTTAACTAAGAAGGGACCCCAAATTAGAACTTCAAATCCCTAGCTACCACAAATTTTTTTATTTTATTTTTCAAACTTAAAATTAAGAAAGGCTCATGCACAAGGGGTTTTCAAAAATTTCAAGGCGATGGTCTCCATTGATTTTTTTGTTTTTTATTTTATTTGGATCCAGACAATATTTTGTTCTATTAGGCAACTCTACAGGTGTATCATGATGTCCCTGATATTTTACCATTGTATAAGAACAGGTTCTCTGATTTCCACATTTAATATATATATATATATATTTGTTTTTTTGTTTGTTTTAAATCCTTAATTTCTCATATCAGTGCCAGTAATTACATTGGTAGCTGAACTTCTTGATTACAATACCTAAGCATCTTGAAATAATTAATAACTGAAATTTATGAACTTTGTGGTACACTTTTTTTAACAAAAAAATATATTAAAAATACCTCATTTGCGAACAAATTTTTTTTAGTCCCACATCACAATAAATTAAAAATTATAGAAGAATCTTTTAAATTAATATTCCAAATCAGGTTAACCAAAAAAAAAAAACAAAATAATAGGGATGAAAATTTGAAATAGACTACCAACGGGCCAGTGGCCTAACGGTATCGGCCTCTTCCCTCCCAAAGGGAGATCAGGTTTCAAGTCTTACAAGAGACATGTGTGTGTGAGTACCATTTAGGAAAAATAAAAAAATAAAAAAAAAATTAAAATAGACTCAAACCAACTATGTTTAGTAAAGGGTAAATTACACTATTCACTCTTTAAATTTGGACAAATCTCATTTATTACTCTGACTCTCCTTGAGGTTAGGGTGTATGCTCAACAATGAACAACCCCCCATCTCCATCAAAACTTGTAAAAAAAATTCATAAAATAACCATGTTGCCCTTACACTCATTTATTTATTTATTTACAATATTTTTGTAGGAGGGGATAACGGTGGAGAGGATAGAGAAAGTAATAAGAGAGATGAGATAGAAAATTGATTCTTTTTTAAAATTTTATATAAAAATATATTACATATAAGTGTGTAATAGGTTTTTTATAGTTTGAAAGGAGATAAACTTCAAATGTTCCACCCATATGAAATTTGTCCAAACCTATAGAGAGAGATGTTTATTTTACCCTTTGAAAAAAGCAGCTCGTGATGATATTAACAACGCTAACCTAGAGGATTTTAACAATGCTGCAGTTCTAAGGCATTTTTTTTTTTGGCGTTCTATACCCCCAACTCTAGTAGCGTCTGGGCCCATTGGTTCGAGCGCAAGCTACTCCACCCCGTCCTTTATTGATAATGAAGATGGAGAATGGGAAGTCCTGCTCCTTTTGGAATGACACTTGGCTTCTTGTAGGGCCATTGCTTCCAGGTTTTCGCTCTTTGCTCCCTCATGCCAAGAAATTTGCTTTACATTCCAAAAAGTTAGAAAAAAAAAAAAAAAAAAAAGAAAAAAACAAAGAGAGATATAGTACAATTGGTGAAATACTTTATGCAGCTTAAAATGAGTATTTTTAGTCAATCCCACTTAAGCTTATTTAGCTTAATTTGAAGGAAAAACGGATGAAATATAACCTAGAAACCCTCTCTTATTTTTACCTAGCCCATGTAATGAGACGAGGTCAAATAAATTCACAATGAAATTTCATAAAAAGAAGTTTCATCATCCAATCAAGACCTAAGAATGAAGGACTACAATATTGTACTCAACAATAGCATCAGCCGTGGTAGCATTAAACGAATATGTTTTCACGGTGGCAATTCCACGTGGCAGTCGAAAAACACCGGACCCCCCTACAATTGGCATCTCCCTGTACAAATTGGGTACTGGGTTCCGGCCCAAGACCGCAAGGGTGCTACCATTGTACTTTCCATCCGTGAAATGAAGGTTCATGGTCATAAGTAGACCGAATTCATCCAATCCAGCCGAACCAAAGAGTCCCTGGGCTCGACCTATGATCTCTGATGTGGGCTCAGGCCCTGCCTTCAGTGGGTCGTCCATCATCATGACTAGGACAAAAGAGGTCCACGATTTATCGGTGATGTTGGACTGGGCCACCTGCATTACAGTTGGGTTCTTGCCACTTACTGTTTCATGGAAATAGAAGTGGAGCTTTGTTACCTTTTGCTTTCTGTAACTGAGCTTTTTGAACCACTCTTCTACTGCTTTGGGTCCTTGAGCAATTCCATAAACCATTGGTATCGTCATGACCACAAAGCAGAGCATTAGAACTACAGATAGCTTCCTCATCTGTGAGTGTGTTTGTGTTTGTGTTTGTGTGTGTATGTGTAATTAGGTAGAGTGCAGATGCTTATAAAATCTATTTATAAAGGTTGATATACCTACTGCACATTTAAATACAGCCAATGACCTACAATTTTTGGTTTTTTCTTCTTTCATAATAAGATGTTAATTTCAGAGATTTGAATTATTGATTGTTTTGGACATACCCTTTGAGCCACATTTGTCATAATAATATTCCCCCTTCAAATTTTAATAATTATTATTATCGTATTATTATTATTATTATTATTATTATTATTATTATACAATTTCTACCAAATTCTTACTGACTTGGCCTTGAATGACCATTTTGAGCGAGCTCAGCCCAAAATTTTATTTTGAAAAACTGAAAAAAAATCGTGATCAGCCCAATAGGTGGCCATAAGTGTTCCTTGATCACTATCTGTCTGTAGTTTGTACTACCATGAACAATTAGAACAAGAAAATTCTGAATTTAGATCGGTTATAATTTTACTGCAGCCATAAATTAAGAATATTCAACCAATTTCAAGCACATCATTTTCAAAATTGAGAGAAGTTTCTTTAATACTTTTATTAATTCATAAAAAAATTTATATCAAGATCCTCTCCATTGTTATTATTTTTTTAAAAAGTTAAAGCAACTGACATATATGGTATGGGGACTCAAACATGGGTCTTTGGCCACAAGCACCAACATCTTACAATTGGGTTATCACACCATACACTCCATTGTTATCTTTTTGGAGTATTTCTTGATGCTTGATCCTATGGTTTAGAGCGTACTACATAGCGAATCTTTCATCATGCAGCACCCCCTTATTTTGGAGAAAGTCTACATTACTCTAGGGTACATGTGGTACTCTTCCAAATGAATGCTCCCTATTTTCATTGATAATAGAGAGAAATTTTAAAGATAAATAGAGAGCATTAATTGGGAAGAATACCGCTTGTTAATGTAGCTCCCTAGTATTGTAGACTTTCTCCTAATTTTGAAAGGTTTGTTATGTGTAGTCTTCTTAGCTCGTATCTCTAGAGAGACTAGTTTCATACTTGCCTCCAAGTTACAATATAATAATCTTATTGCTGCGATGTTTATGTTTTAATTGATTGTAATTCCTCTTTGATTTAATTAGTATTTCCTTTGTCTTTGCCATGAGATATTAAAAATTATTTTCTAAAAAAAAAAAAAAACTAGTTAAGGCCCCCTGAAGGCTATTTGGGGTTGATAACACCCACTTGGTTAGAAAAACTCAATCACATATGCCTGTGCTACGTAGCAGAACATTTTTTTTTTTGGTTCAAATAAAAGGTTAGTGTTACATAGTTTGAAGTATAAAAACGTATTTGGCATATTTCGGTGATTAAAAAAAGTTCAGATGGAGTTGTAATTTTTCATATATTTGAGTCTCCAATTTTAGTTCAACAAAGAACAACATTTAGTCAAAGTATATTTGAAGTTGGATAAGAATGCCTAGGGAAACATTAGAAAGTCCAACCAATTATGTTTAGAATAGACCCTTTAAAGTTTCTGCATAAAATAGCACTAGCTAAAATCCAATCGATTGAATTCTTTACAATAAAACTGCACTCGAAAAAGTCCAATCGGTTGAACTTTGAAATAGAATCGGTAGAACTTGTCTAGTCAGTAATGGAAAGTTTGTATTTAACAACTTTAAGTACCTTTCAAAGTTTGATTTAGAGGGATGTTTTTGTTTACTCCATTATTTTTGGCTCAATGAAAATGCGACATGTGGCGAGTTCCAATGGAACTTACCACGCTGGATCGCAACTCTAATAAATTATTATTGGAAGCTATGTAATATTACATAGTAATTAGACAAGTGGGTCAGTATAATCCTACCATGTGGGGTTTTGTATTTTAAAAGGAAAGAAGTGAGTTCTATTAGGACTTGCCATCTTTAAAGCAAGGGTCCACATATTCTTATTTGGAAAATGATTATTTCATGGAAAAACTACCATACATGCAACCTCATGCAATTATTCAAGACAAATTCAAACAATTAGTTCTCAACACATGGCGAGTTCTATGGAACTTACCATAGTATATCAATTCTTTTAAATAATTGTTGTTATGGAAGGTTTATGGGTAAAAATCATGTATCCCTAAGTAACTGGAGGTTTCCCATTATGCCAAGACCAAAGTTGACTAAGCAAGGAAGAGGAGAATGTGGTGCCAAAAATCTCTCCTACTTTGTAGGGATTTTTGGCAGATATTCAGTTACTAAACTTGCTAAGTCAAAATACAAGCTTGCAAGAGAAAAGGAATGTGGGATAATTTGTATATATATATATATATATATATATATTTGTGTTAAAATACAACCACGATGAGGAGTTGCTAAAATAAAGGAGTACATAACGCCATGAATTCCAAACTCAGAAGGAAAGTCTCAAAAAGGGGAATTACAAAAAATCCAAGGAACGTGGTCTGCTAAAGGAAAGGGACGTGGGAATAAGTTGTAATTATGGAAATATATATATACTGAAAACCCACGATGAAGCAGTCGTTGAAATTATGGAGTCCATGACGTCATGAACTTCAAGCCCAGAAAGGAAGGTTTGGTTGAGAGAAGTTGCAGAAAATCAAGGAGACATGGTTTGCACAAAAGAAGGAACGTGGGATGACACATATTTATGGATATATATATGTGTGTGTGTGTGTGTGTTTGTATATATATATTTGTATTATATGTAGCCCACGATGAAGAAGTTGCTAGAAAGAAGGAGCCACAATGCCATGAAAGGAAAGATCAAACTGGAAGGAAGTTACCCAGGTTAAGGGTAACGTTGGTCTGCAAGTAACTTCTTTATTTATGCATGATATATATGGAGTTGAATGGGAAAGAAGGAGTCTGCAGATGGAAAGGATTATAAAGATCGTGGGACACCTGCCAAGTAAGAATATGTCGGTTGAAAGTGGTGAAGCTTCATAGGGGAACTACCACTAACTGAGGGAAGTTACCAAGGATCATGGATAACGAGACTAAAACTGATAAAATCATGTCTGAAATTGAGGAAAGAAGTCGACAACATGAGGAAGAAGAACAAAAACGTGGGACATCTGTGAATTGATAAAGAGGACAAGTGGGAATTCACTTTAAAACTACCCCCGACACAAGTTCATTGAAGACTAAAGAGAACATGGCTGAAGTCTGCAATAGAGGAGGGAGAAGATGGAAGGAAGAAGTGACAACTACCAAGAGATCATGGGGCACTTTGCAGTCCAAAATTTGGCCACGTGGAAATCGCTGGAGCTGCCACTTCAAGCTGCTGCATGCATGGAAAGCTCTATAAATAGAGCACTTAAAGCTAGTTTGCAAACCCTGTTCAACACACATAACCAACAACACTTCAATTTCTTTACATTCATGTAATGCAATTTCAACATGTTTAATTCAAGTCCCGCACTTACTATTCCTACTTTCCTGCACTTTACTTTGAAGTCCTACACTTTCAATACCGCTTTCCTTTCCACTAGCCATAGTTCAGTCCGAAAGTCCTTTTTCAAGGCAAAAAGAACCTTTGAAGGTGGTAATTCCAGTCCTTCAGTCAATCGCCTGATCTTTACAATCTCCTACTGGATAGTTGTTCGGATATCCACTTTGGAACGACAGCAGTTCCTGGCACGTCCGACATTTACCCCTACTTTCCGCTCACCTGGAAAGCGGAACTAGCGCTTTTTCACGAGCTAAACATATTGGCACGCCCGGCGGGACATTCTAGTCAGACTGTTCAATGGCCGGTGGAAGAAGGCAAGGCAAGTCTGTCCAAGACCCTGCTGAACTAGAAAGATGTAAGTCAGTGAACTTCCAGTGAAAATTTCACGATTCGCACCTGATGAGAATGATATGGTGGAAAAGTTTGCTCAAACAATGGCAAATGGACCCATAATGGACAACATCCGTATGATGGCAATGCAGCAAGTTAGGTTTGCGCAAGACCAAGCAAAAGTCGCTCAAGACTTAGCCAGAGTTGCTCAAGACCAATCTAAAGCCGTTATTTCTCAAGAGCGGAATTTAGCAGAAATGGTGGACTAAATATCTCGTAGGTTTGAGTCCATGTTGGAACAAACCCTTGGAAGCTTAAACCAAGGTTTGGCCCCTCGGCCAAACAATTCTTAAGGGTTTCAACAGTCGGCCTTCCAAGCTAGTAGGCCAGCCACATTTGTTGAAGGGAGTTCCTCTCAACAACATACAGGGCCGTTCGCAGGTGCAGTCCCTTCTAATGGCACAGACTTACACTCCAGCTGCACCTGTGACTGCTCCAGTGGCATAGATGACTATTCCACAAGCTGCGCCCATGCCAACCATCTAGCAAGTTCAAAATCATCCACCTGTGGCATTGCTACAGCAGACTTGACATGATCAGCTTGGCCAACCATGGCCATACCACAACCCTCAAGCACAACAGAATGTTCCACCTGTGAACATTCAGCTAGCCGCACCTGTTCCAACAAGGCCACCCATGGTTATTCCTATGGCGGTTGGGGGGCAACCTTTTCTAAGGGAGCCATTTCTTGACCAAGGAGGAAGGAACCGTGGTAGGATCAACTATGCAGATGCCAACCCCTTGCTTATGGCGGGTGGGGGGCATCAAGTGGCCAATTAACCTCAAGGTTGGCCAGACAACAACCTTCCACAGCCTGTGGCGCTTGATAGAGGCCAATTTGTAGAATTCTTTCAACAGGAATTTAGCCTAACTCGAAGGGGTGGAAGGCCAACTTACAGAAAGCTCTATCCAGAGTTCATTGATGAAGTTGAATTTTCAAGGAATTTCAGAATTCCAGAGTTTGCAACGTTCAATGGAGAGGGCGAACAATCCACATTGGAACATATCAGCCGGTTCACTGTTCAGTGTGGAAAAGCAGCAGTCAATCCATGGCCGAAGGTACGCTTGTTTCCAAATACACTGACTGGGTATGCTTTCAAGTGGTATTCCAACTTGCCAGCTAACTCTATCTAAAG